CTTACTGTCCCTTTTGAAGGGACTGAACAGAATTTCAGCCTCTTTTGGAAACCTAGCCGCACTATTTCTGGGAATTCATATACAAAATGAGCCTGAAAAGACAGGCCTTTAAAGCAGAAGGTTTTTAATGAATGGGCTGCAAGCTGTATTTTTTTAAAGTATTGTAAACACCTTTATCTTTTTAACTATATATGTAATCTGTTTTAATACTGTAATAATTTAACTCTGTTTTAATATAACATTTTTCTATATTTTTTTTAAATTATATTGTTTTCAATCTTGTAAGCCACTCTGAGTTCCAGTTTTGGGGAAAGGGCGGGATATTATTATTATTATCATCATCATCATCATCAAATGGTGCATTCAGGGCTCCTGGAAGATATCTTTTAATAATATTAATATTAATAATAATAATGATAATAAACAAAAGGAGCATTCAGAGACCCTGGAAGACATCTTTTAATAATAATAATAATAATAATAATAATAATAATAGGTGCATTTAGGGATCCTGGAAGACATCTTTCCCTAAAAAAAATTGTCTATAATTTCCAGGGCATTGTTTTGGGTTATAGTTTAATTTTTGTTTTATCAGCGAGATAACCACATTTGAGGGTTTATTGTCGCTGACATTTTTATTTGTTGCTGTTTTAATATAGTTTGTTGTCATGTTTTGTTTAAGTAAAAAAACTGTAGTAATAATACTGTAATAATAACAACAACAATAATGATAGATAGATAGATAGATAGATAGATAGATAGATAGATAGATAGATAGATAGAGATGTCTCTGTCAGATAGACAGATAACGTGCTCGCCTCCAAACCAGAGAACGCCTTGGCTTCATAATACAGGAACCGCCCAATACAAGGCCCGTTTCTCTCTCCTCCGACTCCCGACTCCTTTCTCACCTCCAATCATAAAAGACCCTCCAAAAAAAACCGCACAAGACACGGCGTCCATACTTACGGGACCCCGCTGGAAGGGAAGCCGGAGAAGACACCGTTCCTCCGCCTTCTTTCAGCCGCGACTCCTCGATTTCTAGGCGGAGGCTTCAGAGTTGCGAGTAGGCCGCAGCCTTTCCCGCCTCTTACCTCTAGAGGCCGCTGTGGGCTGTTTCCCTCCCTTCAGTGTCAGCCGCCTTTTGTTTGTTGTTGAGCCAAAAGACACACTCCAGAAATAACCCATCTTCAGACCGCTTTAACTGCCCTGGCTCAGTGCTAGGGAATCCTGGGACCTG